TGGTTCAGAACGGACTACTATGCCGAAAGGTCCCGGGTTCGATTCCCGGCCGGGCAGAAATTGAAATGATAAATTTTAATTTCTGTGACGGGTCTGGGTGTTACTATGTATAATATGTATGTATTTAAAAAAAAAAAAAAAGTATATAAGTAGTGTATCCGTCAAGCTAGCACCCATAACACAAGCATTAAGTTGCTTACTTTGGGGCTAGCTGGCGCTGTGTGAAATTGTCCAAAGATTATTTAAAAAAAAAAAAAAAAAAAAGTTTTTTTTGTAGATGCAAAGGTGTTAATTATCTAATAAAATTTTCAAAATAGCACAAAACATTTGATTCTTTAATCATGAATTCCAGTTGTTAAAATTCTTAAACAAGACTACATTTTAAACTCATAAAAGGCAACCCCAAAAAGACGAAATAAACTTACATTATGCGAGAAAGTTCGCGAAATGGCTTTAATTTTTATTATGCAGTACGAGGCATGAAGTTAAATGCATGCTAATTATCATTTAACGCGGCATCCTCGTTAAGGAACAAAAACAAAGGTTGCAGGTGTGTTATAACGAGAACTTCATACGGGCAACATATTTTTGTACACCTCAATGTCTACTGACTATGGAATTCTGAAACGAAGATAATACTTCATTCAAAATCCAGCATTAATTCTAGCTTCAGTTTGGGTTTTCATGACCCATTCTATTCTTTAGTATTTCATACGTAGGCCTAGTTTACGTTATTTAAAAAAAAACACTGCTTCTGTCCAGTAAAACAAATGCCGGTCAGCTTTGGCGGGAAAACGGACTTTATGACAAAAAAGTTTCAATTTATTCCGAGAGAATTCATAATATCGATTTTATTCTGAGATGATTTATTTTACCCTTATTGGAAGTGAGGATTTTTATTTTTGTTTAAGTAAGGTATTAATATTTTTACTGACATTTCAGCAAATTAAATCAGTAAATTATTCATTTATTTATTCAAGTTCTTTTATTGCCAACAGAGGCATAACGAACGTTGCCAGATAAAAATAAGTAGGTACAAGCCACGTCAAGCTAAACACTGTGGGTTCTTATTGTCATTATAATAAGGTCTATTTTGCAGCAAAAAGGTTTAGTCTGGTTTGTCTGTATCTATTTTAAAATGCTTATTCAGTCATGAGCGTAGCCATTTTCATATGCGGCATGCGACGCGCAAACGTTAACAGAATTCTATATTTTCGACGCATTTTTGTATTAAACTTTAAACACGTTTTTGTTGTATTTCCAAAAACGATTGTTTCGAATTTTCAAATTTGTTACTTCTTGTAATTCTCGGTACATTGCTTTCATGGTCACGTGGTAGCTATTTATTCCAATATACACATACAGTTCAAGTTCAAGCGTGGGACGTCCACCCACAAGGTGGACCGACGACCCAATAAAGGTAACAGGTAGGCGCTGGATGCAGGCCGCTACCAACCGTGCGATGTGGAAGTCATTCAGTCTGCCTATGTTCAGCAGTGGACGACCTGTGACCATTTTTGCCGCTTTTGTATTTAGGTATTTTGCAACATTCAGTTCATAAGTCACTTTTCATGAAGCAGCAACAATAGAGTTAATAAGCACAAAAAAGTTTTTAAGTGTATTCAATTGTCTGGCACATAAAACTTAGTAACGCACATTATTTGCAGACTCTGCAGTAAATGGCTTTAGTAATTTGTCAAGAAAGAAAGCATCACAATTAAATTCAATCCCATCTGCGAATGTCTGCCTCCGACTGCACATTCTGAAGGATTTCAAGCGAAAGCACAATCTTCTAATGTTTTTTTTTAAATTACCGCGAAAAATCTTGTTACAAAAACAAACCTATTTTGACACAACAAAAAAAAATTGTCCAGTGATTTGAAGGCTTAAAAAGTTTGAAACGCGTTCGAAATGTTCGAAATTTAAAATTCTTTCTTTTTCCATGACGAAAAAGTTAGGTGTCAGCCAGTTTCATCTTCTAAAATTATATTCGTCAAAAAAAAACTATTTTAAATAACATCAAGTTACATCTGACATTTTGTGGGTTGTTGACATTTTAGAAAGACCATACGTAATTCCACCCACACTGTATGCACCCGACCCAATTTTTAAACTAGGCGATTTCCCACATCGCAATTTATTTTCGTGTGCTACTTAATTCCAGTTTTTAAAGTTTTCACCGAGTTTTTGCGCCGAGCCCCATTCACCCCCTTTAATGCAGTAAAATTAATGAGTTTTAATTAACGTTAAACCTTTAGTGTATGTAAGCTATCTCAATTTTAATGAGAAGATGTAAAATCATTATAACGGTATTCATGTTACATAACCTTGTAGTAGTTATTTTAGAAATAGAAAACCTTTTAGAGCAATTAAGGCAAAATATCATATTTTCACTTCTGACGAATGTAGTAAATAAACAGAAAATGTATTCTTTCATACAAGATGATAAATATTTCGTCGCCACTATAATAATAATAATATGTAATGTTTATAAATTGCCACAGTAGACGGAAAAATATGTTTACACATTTCCTTAGTGGGACAGTACGGCACTTTGAGTGTTAAGATATACTTACTCAAGTACCTACTTTGCCTGAAAGATATTTTTACAGTCCACAACACATCAGACTTATAAATAACAAAACTAGCTGTGCCCGCGACTTTGTACGCGTGAAAAAAGTTTGATATTTCCCGTTATTGCAACATTTTTCTTTACTGCGGCGCGCCGCCCCAATTGGCTGTAAGGTGACGCCTTCCAAAAGATGCCATAGTGTGCTGATGTCCTGTTGTCTGATGCAAAAATCTAAATTAAATAATGAAGGACTACGCAGCAAAATAAAGCTTCAGATATTTTTCCTTTAGTCGTAAGTATTAAGGCCTTTGTCCAGCAATGGACGTCTATCGGCTGAAACGAACGAACGAACGTAAGTAATAATTTATCGTGAAAATTCTCAATACATTGTTGAACAATGAGCTCTCCAAAATATTCCAATAAGCTCGATTCTTGATGATGTTTAATTATTAAAAATAACGTATAATTTATCAGTGCAGTCATTAAATGGTCAAAGTTATAATACTTTAGGCAATAATCAGCTCAATTCACCGTACACCGCATTGATCACAACAGTATTAAAGCCAATTTCAGCTAAAGCATAATTAAATTACACATTTCCATGACAACACTCATTTTGGAAATACAACGGGCAACGTGAATTTGTGGAAGTTATTTCGAGTTCACACTGAAACTAGAGCTGAGATAAGTATCGATAACTCGAAAATCGATAGACATTAATGATATCGATGTTTCTAATTTGATTCGTAGCAGCTTCATCATATTTTATAAGTCATCTTGCGAAGCTGCTACGATTCAAATCAGACAATACAGTGCCGAAATAATGGTTTCTGGACAATGCAATATACTCGTACATAAACGAGTTGAATTAGGCGACCGCAATAAAACTTCTATCTCGTATATTTAATGAAAACTTACTTTCAGTGTGCACATTATTTCTACATACTTAGTTAATCATTGCGTATTTTATCATACTACCTAATTAATATTATTAAAAATAATTGTTTTCCAGATATCCAAAAAAAAAATCGGGAGAAGAAATTAAGATTTTCACGTGCCGATTTATCGATACATCACTGAGTGCATCACTAGCGGAAACATGAACAGGCCAATAACATTTTGTCATCCCTGAGCTATTGTGAACTGCACGGACTTGATATAAAAGCTCTTGTGTAAATCGAATGGCTTTTATGCTAATAAATCGAAATATGTTTTTGCAATATGAATACATGTCCAAACAGATTCAGTTATTTACATTTGGTTTTTCGTTAACTTTACAGAGTAAAACAAAGTCGTTCTCGCTGTTTGTACGCTTATATCTTTTAAACTACGCAACGGATTGTAATGCAGTTTTCAACAATAGATAGAGTGATTCAAGAAGAAGTTTACATGTTGTTTTAGTACTCGTGCGAAGCCAGGACGGGTCGGCAGTCTGTTTATTTATTTATAGAACCAACAGCGATACATAGATAACATTAGTTAAATAAGATTAAGACTGATAGTATAGTCAATAACAGGTTTCCCTCACTTTAAAAGTACATTTTTGTTGGAAAAATAAAATACAAGTTAAAGAAGTGATTAATAAATACCTAACGAACGTTGTACGTTAGCTTTACGTCTCGCAATGTTAAGAACTACATAATTAAATTATTTTTAACAGCCCACCAGATTGTTAAGAAAAATTACAAATGTTCCCCTGTTCAAAGAAGTGTCTAAGAACCAGGAAGAAGATTTTTCCTCATAACATTTCTGCTGCTACTGAGAATCGAACTCAGGATTATCAACTTGAGAATGAATGGTTCAATATCTCTCACTTGCGTTCCCAAAATGGATTTTCTCTGAAATATGTTTTCCTTGACGCTTCGTACGGAAGGCGGGCTGCAAAATATTTCCCGGAAATTTCCGGGAAAGTATTTTAAACTGGAATTGAGAAGTTATACATCCTTGAACATTTTCTTGATAGAACCTCGACTACATTATTGATTGATGAAATGGGAATGTAGCGGACATAAGATTATTGCAATTTGTTAGAAATAGCAGAGTAAATAGAAATACAAATGAGTTATCCATCTTCATAGAAAAGCATCGAGCGCGGTTTGTATGTGAGCGGGCGCCAATACGTATGCGGCGCGCACGCACACACTGACAAAATTTAGCGTTGATTAGCGGCGATTTGCCCCGAATTTTGTCAGCGTGTGCGTGCGTGCCGCATACGTATTGGCGGTGAAGATGACCTACTCATTTGTATTTACTCTGAAAATAGTTTTTTTTTTTTTATGTGATACGAGGCAAACGAGCAAACGGATCACCTGATGGTATGTAATTACCGTCGCTCATAGACACCCGCAGACCCAGGGGCGTTACAGGTGCGTTGCCGGCCTTTAAGGTAAAGATACGCTCTCCTCTTGAAAGCTTGCAGGTCGTATATCTAAATGTCGGCATTTATTCGCAAAGTGTGGACCTCCACACCGATAGCAGACTAATGACTTACTTGTAGTAATCCTTGTGACTTTGTTTATTGTGTTAGAGTTTTCAGAGATTTTACGTGTTTCAGCCCCCACTGCAATTTGAAGTGCTGTCTCAAGGGTTAATTCCTTCACTTCAAGCAATTTTCCCTGCACACGTTTGTCTGCAATTCCGCAGGTAAACTGATTTCGCAATGCTGTTGTGAGGAATGGTCCGAATCCACATGTGGCCGCCATCTTACGTAAAGCTGCCAGGTATTCACGAGCCGATTCGCCTTCCTGTTGCTGTCTGTGGTGGAATGTATAATATTCTGCAATTTCCAGGGGTTGAGGGTCAAAGTGATCTAGCAGTATCTTCTTAAGATTACTATACGTTTGTGTCCTTGGCTCCGCCGGCGACAACAAGTCGCACAACGTGTCATGTACCTCAGTACCAATATAGTGCAGAAAATAGGCCACTTTGATGTCTTCATCCTGAATTCCAAATATTGTATATGCTCCCTCTAACCTGTCCAACCACCTGCTGAATCTGGTTTGTTTCCCTTCATAAAATTCTATGAAATTAGGTGGTACGTGCGGACGATCTTGTGGGTTAACTTTTTGGTTACCTTTTGATTTACTTTCTGCCATCCTCGTCGCCAGTTGTTATCANCAACAATGTGTCAAGTAGACCAGAAGATCACCAGCCGAGCGACCTCCACGGAAACCGTACTGTCGGTCACTTAGCAACTGGTGGGCCTCTAGGTACCGAAGGAGCTGGCTGTTGATAATGGATTCCATTATCTTCGAGAACAAGGAGGTGATTGCTATCGGCCTATAGTTGGACGGATTTGAGCGGTCACCTTTTTTAGGGATCGGGTGCACCAAAGCTGTCCTCCATGAGGTCGGGACTATGCCAGAGAGGTAGGAGAGCCGAAAAAGGCGCGTTAAAACCGGTGCTAACTCTGGAGCGCACGTCCTCAGCACGATAGGAGGGATTCCATCGGGCCCACTCGACTTATGGATATCCAGGGAAAATAGAGCCAGGCGTACTGAGCTTTGGTGGAACCGGATATCCGGCATACAGCTCTCACACCTTGGTATAATCGGTGGCTCATGTCCCCCGTCATCCAGTGTCGAGTTGGACGCAAAGAGTTTGCCCAGAAGAGTTAAGTCTACTTCTTATGGCATTTCATGTATTTACGATGATTCTCTCAAAAATAAATGCACACGCCACACGTCTATTTGCATCTTAACTTCCATTTGCGATTACCTATAAATGGCTAAGCAGATACATAATTTAAGGTCCCATTATTTGTATTGTATTGCTGTTGGTTATCCGAATAAAATAAAATAAATGCTACTGGTTAGTAGAATAGTAATTGAATATTTCAGCGAGGGATTCAAACTTATCCTACATCAGGTAGCAAATTTAGGTAAATAACAAAATTTTATAAGTAATTGTAATTGTCTAAGTAATTGGGTATATTAGTGACTCCCAGTCAAAGAACTTGTTTTAATGTCTTATCTTACTTACAAGTGTTATTTTTTTATGTTAACCTTACAATTAGGTACATACGAGTACTTGCAAAAAAGGTTATTATGTAAGAACAATAAATGGATCGTTATTACATGATCACAAGAGTTCAGGAGATGCCATGAAAACATAGCACATTGTTAAGATCCCTTAGCAAAATTATGCAAACGGGAAATGAATTCTCAGGGATAATCGGAGGACTAATACCGGTTGACTTTTTATCCCCAATTTCCTCGTTTTATTTGCGTCGAAACAGACTCTGCATAGGACGTTCCTTTTTAGAACACTCGCTAGAATTTTTAGATTATCAATTTGGTTGAACTCGGTTTGTCTGTTCCTGATAACAATAGCCCTTATCTTTAAATGTCAGACTAATTTATTATTTATTTATGACACAAACAGATCCATGATACATGGGTGGGTATTGACTGCGTTCCCTAAAATAGTCTAATTTAGCTTGTGTTTTGTTCTTTCTCTACTATCTACGTCCAGTACACATCCTTATTTTCAGTAGTTTTGGCAACATAAAATAACTAATACAAAACGTATACATACTGGATAGAAGACGCGTCGCATTATAAGACTACTTACATTCAAATGTATACCAGTTACATTTACCTTGGATTTGTTATACAGAACTGCACGTTCACTTGCAAATAATTACCTGTAACAAGAAAAACACTAAATTAGTGATATATAAATCATGGGACACTTATGAAAACAAAAGCTCATTTTCTTTTTTTCTTTCTTTCTGAGCCAATTAAGACTTCGACTCCCGAGAAAATAAATAGTAGAAAATCTATTGTTAGGAGTTCCGATGAGGAACTTGTGGACAATATAGCATAACGAAAGATAAGTAGAAAGACAGGAATAAAGAAACATTTATAACAATGGACGTCATACAAAGACAATAAGTGAAACATGCTGTCATCTACCACATCTTTCCATAAATAGGTAGGTTTTCTGATTTAATTGAAACAATAAATCAACATACGACTAATCTTAAATGGCGGAATTAACTTAGGTACCTACTTATCCCATCATTCCCATCACACTTTCCCATCACTGCAACTCCTGTAGGTATAGCCAGGATCTACACTGTAGAAAACACCCTGGCCAGCTGTAGATTCTGCAGCTTGGCCTCCAATGAAACCCAATCATTGAAGGTTGAGTAGTCCCAGGGATAACTAACTGTCTTGGAACCCGCAACGAATTTAATCGGACTCCATAACAAGCGGTAGTTGCAAAGCGGGAGACAGATGACAGTAAAGGTATATGGAAATCGAATGGAAACTTTAGCTACTGCTATTCTGAAACCACAGGCTTTGAAACATAATGTGAACAAAATTATGGATATGATAAACTGATTGGGTCCAGAATGGTCCCATTCGCAGTTCATGTGGCTTGCCAACTTTGGTAATAATCACTGTCAAAGTTCTGCTACCACTGAGCCACAATCTCGTGTTTAGTGTACTTAAAAACTTCATAAGCACTTCACTCTAAGCCAGCTTACAGACGAACAAAATTATGACGGCAACAACTTGCGGTAGTGGTAGGCGATGGTCAGCAACTGTAGGCGACTATTGGCGACTCGAACGTTTCACTATCATGATATGTTGACACTCTGACTATACGTTAGTGACTGCCCGTTTTCAAGAGTCGCGATGAATCAGCGGCTGTAGTATTCGCGATGCGTCGGCGACGGTCATCTAATTTGAATATCTGTCGTCGGCGATTATCAGCGACTGTCGCTATGTGTACCTATGTAGCTCGTCTGTAAGCTTTCTACGATATCATCTAGACTTCTTAAGTTAAAAAGCTTTTATTAAATTACATACGAGTACAAGTTCTATTCTGAAATTTTATATTTCACACTTTTTATTCCGCTTCAACATGGATGTAGAATGAGGAAGACTTTTAATATCCGCTGTTTCGTTTCTTCAAGGGTCTTATCGAAAACTCGGAATGCCTTTTGTCTTAGAATAGGAAATTCCGTGGAAATTTTCCTGTAAGACAATTTCGTCGAGCTCAAGTTTCCTGTTTTAATTTGAGCGATGCAGCGGCCATGCTGGATTTTGTGAGGTTAATTAATTATTACACGGATATTGAGTGCACGTAAACTTTAGACAAATTGGAGAAGGTAAGAGTTAGGGGAGAGTGGGGGAATTGCGGACGCTGAAGGGAAATAACGCACAACATTCGTACTATTAGTAATAATCAGATTTTCTTTATTAATTATTAATCTTTAGTTAAACATCTACAAAAACAGTTATACTTATTAAACGAGATCAATCAACAAATGGAATATTTTTAGCAAAAACAAAACCTTGTCTGTCCGTAATTACCCGCAGCGCTCGGGGTAAATTCGGACTAACGCTGGGTTAATTACGGACAGGTCCACATCACAGACAAAAACCACAAGTAAAGCCTTTAGAAGAACTTCCTGCAGTGCAGTTCTCATGTGCCCACTTGTTACACTTTAAACACCTAATCCAGTCTTCGGCGGGTGGATGAACGTAGTACTTTTCCTGACAATAAATGCAAAAGTAATCAACATTTCCTTCATTTTCAAAATAATTTAGATTTCTTACACCCTTTGATCCTTTTAGCTTATTAGATGTAGTTTTATTTTGTTTTTCTTGGGCTTTTCTTTTCTTGTCTAATTTCTTTTGTTCCTTTTCTTCTAGATTCTTTTTTTCTGGTGTGCTGGTAAAAATGATGGAATGCTTTTTGTTTACTGCCCGTTTGTACCAGTTATTGGTAAATTTTTAAATAGTTTATCGAATTAGGGGTAATTGCAGACGTCCGTATTTACCCCGCAAGGCTTGTCCGCAATTAACCCAATTGGGTATTTTTAAATCAAAGAGATAAATTTGTAGGTTATGAAAACATTCCATAAAAAGAAACATTCGCGATTCAAACTTCATTGACAAAGCTATCAATAGATAATATAACTTTTTACCATCACTTAGTATTCAGACCAGTCCCTTAAATTAAAAAACACTAGAAATTAGATCAAAATACACATTTTTTTAAAATTTTACCTACCTTTCAAACTGTGCGCAGCCGGCTGTCGTAAGTTTTTGCGTGGCACTAAAATGGCAGAAAGAAACAGATGACAGCACCGGGCTGCCGCGGGGGGGAGGGATTGAGTAGGTACTTGCTAGTCCGTATTTACCCCGCGTCCGCAATTCCCCCATCCTCCCCTACTTACATTAACTTACATAAACTCATTTAGTAACTATAGTAATCGCTTTTTTTATAAAAAAACAAAACAGAGCCGCTACACGATTACGAGAGAGATTCATGCTTAGCGCATAGGTCAGACGGGCAAAGATGCGCACCGTGATACAATCTTATCGATGATTTTAGACGACAAATGAGTACGACAAACGAAAGCTTACCGTGCGCCTATATTTCTATGGAGCGTTCCTGATTGAGTCTGTACCGCGCCGCTGCCGCACATGCCGCGCCAATCAGGGACGCTCTATTGTAAAATAGGCGCTCGGTAAACTTTCGGTACCGCGTATGCCGAGCGTGTCAGAAAACGGCCTAGTGCCCGTTTTCATCATCAATCCCTAATTTTTAAGTGACCACTTTGGTATCAAACAACAGGAATTTTGTTTACGTAGGGGTCACTTAAAAATTAGGGATTGATGGTGAAAACGGGCATAAGACTCATAATCGTGACTAATTTTTCGAGCACATTTTTTGTTTTACTTACTTAACCAGGACATACCCGCGCCGACATAATATTCATCCAAAACAACCTGTATAATACTAACTCTACATAGAAATTATGACAGAAACACCTCTATACCTATAAAAACATGCAGGCAACGTCTATCCATACCACTGGTGCATTGCGATAACAGTTATGCATCAGTATTGGCATTAACATCTGCATCCCCCGTGCAATTTGCCTGCGGCTGGTGCTCCAGGGATTATCCTGAACCTGTTCCAATATCAGGGAAGTGGTACAGTGTGTATTGTTGTTTATGTTCTTGTGTTTAGGAGTATCTATGTCTGCAGTAGCTTTTCCAGAGGTAATCATAATAAACCTACATATTAGAATAGTATAGGTACGAGTACGTCAGGGAAGAGTATTTTTACGATCATATTATGACCA